GATCCCCTGGAGGAGGGCATGGCAACCCACTCCAATATTCTTGCCTGGAGAATCCCATGGACGTGGAGCCTGGCGGGCTACAGGGGTCGCAAAGAGTCAAACATGCCTGAAGTGACTGAGCAGCACACATAGCCGTTTAACAATGCTGTGATGGTTTCAGGTGAACAGTGAAGGGACTCAGCCATACATACATGCATGTATCTGGTCTCCGCGAGACTCCCCTCCCATCCAGGCTGCCACACAACATTGGGCACTCTGGCCCATTGTGAAAACATATGTATTTATTTGGCTGTGTTGGGTCTTATTTGTGGCACTCAGGATCTTTGTTGCATTATGCAGATCTTTTTCGGGGGGGCTCTGGCGCAGCAGTTGCAATGCGTAGGCTCTGGACCACGTGGTCCTAGTAGTTGGAGCTTACCAATTTAGTTGCTCTGTGGCATGTGGGATCTTAGTTCCCCAACCAGGCATTGAACCTATGTCCCCTGCATTGCAAGGCAGATTCTTAACCGCTGGACCACCAGGGAAGTCCCTGGCCCATTTATTGAGTGACCACAAAAGTTTCTGGTTCTGAGTGGAGTCCAGAAAAAGGGATGACTCTGCAGAAGGTCCAGGCTGCTGTAGAAGCTACTCTGTCTCCCGTGACCCTGAGAAACTGTAGAAGCTACCCTGTCATATGACCCACGAGATCCAGTGGTGCTTGAGATAGGTCAGTGGCAGATAGGGATGCTGTTTGGAGCCTTTGGCAGCCATTACAGGTGAGGCAAAGAAGAGTAGTTATTCACATTCTCTGTGGATAGCTACTCTCCTTTGGAGAAATAACACATGGCCTGCCACTGGGTCTTCATATAGGCTGAATGCTTGGGCCATGAAATTACCATGCTCCCTGAGCTGTCCATCATGAACTTGGTGTTATCTGACCCACCAACCCATAAAATCAGATGTGGACAGGAACACTTCATCATCAGGTTGAGGTGGAATATATGTGATTGGGCCTAAGCAGGCCCTGAAGGCATAGGCAAGTTACCTGCTCACCGAATTCTCTGGTCTTACCATGCTCCTCACCACTCTGAAACACCTGGTTTGATGGAACGATAGAATGGCCTTTGGAAGATTCAGTTACAGCACCAGTTAGGTGATAGTACCTTGCAGGGCCAGGGTGAGATTCTCCAGAATACTGTGTATTCTCTGAATTAGCATCTAGTGTATGGTATATAGACTTTATATTATAGTATTTAAATATTGTTACTTTTACATCATCGTGTTTAAGTCACGGGCCATCAAGGTGAGTAAACATCCTCAAGGAATCACTATCTCCTATGGGGAAGGAATGAGTGCAGTTTTGGTTGCTTACAGTCAAAGCTCAGTTCTTCATAATCCATATACTTGTATCATATTTGGTGGGATCATGATCTTGGTATTATCTTTATTTAGAGAGAAAGTATAGTTTAAGGAGATGCATATGGGTGCCAGGTTGCTAAGGGGTAGGCTTGTGATACTTAATTTTATGTGTCAAATTGACTGGGGTATGGATATTTGGTTAAACACTATTATAGGTATGTCTGTGGATGTTTCTGGATGAGATTAACACATGAAATAGTAGACTCAGTAAAGCACATTGCCCTCTCCAATGTGGGTGGGCCTCATCCAATCAGTTGAAGGCCTGGATAGAACAAAATGTAAGGGAGAATTCACTCTCTACTTGCCTTTGAACTAGGACATAGGTCTCCTGCTGCCTTTGGGACTCAATAGGGAGTAGAACTTATACCATCAGTTCTTGGCCCTCTGGCTGGCTGACTGCTGATTTTGAGACTTCTCAGCCTCCATGATCATGTGAACCAATTTCTTTTTTTTTTTGAACCAATTTCTTATAGCAAATCTCTGTGTTGGTTCTCTTTCTCTGGAGAACACAGACTGATACAGTGTATACAGAAATCTTAATTCTTTTCAGTGACTAGATTGTATTCCAAATGATGAATGTGCCATCTTTTAATCCTCCTCATTGATACATAATTAGGCTCTTTCCAGTTTTCCAGTCTTTTTCTAATTTCACCAATGTATCAGTAACTATCTGTACATATACATCTTTTTTTTCCCTTTTCTTTTTTTTTGACCTGGCCCATATGGCATATGAGATCTTAATTCTCTGACTAGGGATCGAACCTGTGTCCCTGCAGTGGAGGTGCAGATTCTTTTTTTTTTTTTTTTAGGTGCAGATTCTTAATCACTGGACTGCCAGAGATGTCCCAACACATATATTTTTGTGCACATATGCTTCTAGTCCTGAAGACCAAGGAATGTGATCATGAATCTTTTTTTGTGTGTGTGTGTGTGATCATGAATCTTACAGGTTACAAATATGTATTTGTCCAGTGCATGTTTTGTCTGGTATCACATGCCTTAGAATGCAATTTCTCAAAAGGAAAACTCTGTAATGTGTATGTGCCATAAATGTCAGGCATGTTGTGGTTCCTTAACACATATTTTAAAACAATAATAGTTTGCAGAATAGCCAGTAAATTCATATGACATAATTAGCTAAATACCAGTAGGGGTATTTTCTTTAAGTGGGTCTCTTGAACCGCAGATTCAGAGAGCATGCTTTCCATAACCCGAAGGATGTTGGCTGTTCTTTACAGGAAGCCCAGAGAGTCTCTTCAGGCTTCTTCTTATAACAAACACCTACTCGAACTATGATTTTGGAATCATTTCCATTGCAAATCCCCTCTTTCCACACCCCTTTAAAAGGCAGCTGCAATATTTGGCATGTAACCAGGGCCTGCTGCACCAACAATTCTCTAAATTTTATTTATATTTCATGCGCAGTATGTTCAAACTCTCACTTTCCCAGGTGCCAGATGCTGGTTTGGACACACTCCAGTGGAAAGTGCTTTCCTATAAAATAATAAAAGGAAAATGCTGAACAAACCACCTCTTTATACAGACTTGTACCTAGTATACCAGAGTTAAGTACTATAATAATGACTTCACTATTTCCCCCAATTTGCAATCCCCCGAATTCCCTCCTCACCTCCCTCCACAACAAATACTTTGTCTCTAGGCATCAGTAAGATGCTTATGGTCCTCTTACATTTCTTCAGTGTTCACTTAAAAGCATCAGGGTATAGGAGTCTGTCTTACATGATTTGGATCGCACCTGATGCAACCCACCCACGGGCATTTCAACTATACGATTTGGATGAGAAAACAAAACATTTTAACCCACTTCCAGAATTTTGAAAAGATATCTAACAAATTAGTGTCTGCTATGTTAATGGCTTTTATATGTTTTCACTAAAAAGTGATGCTTTCCATGTGTTGGTAATAATACTGTCTCTTCAGTCACACAGAATTTTGCCAGGACACTCAGAATGAACTCAGAATTCGCCATTGTCATAGGGTTCTTGCCTGCCTAAAGGCAATCCTCAATCCGAAGAGCCTACTTATGAAATGAGCAGCAGTGTTAGGTGGATACTGAGAAAGTGGCTATCATTCAAGAGATTGTCAGTCCACCCGTGGTGTCCACCTCCACCTCTTTCACCAGTTTCTGTGGTAACATTTCACTGAGCTGAGAACCAGTACAATTCCTTGTTCTATCCCAGAAAAACTGGGAACCTTAGGCACGAAAATTTATGTTTGTGCCAAAAAGCTTGTGGTTATATTATGAGGTTTAAATGAACTCTTGTAAAGAGTGTGTGTGTGTGTGTGTGTGTGTGTGTGTGTGTGTGTGTGTGTAAAGCAGCTATAAAATACAATATTCTGCATGGTTGCTGGTATCCCTTTGTCTTGTCTTGCTCTTTCCACTAGATGGCGGTGGAAGCCAAGAAATAACTTGCAAAGGCCTGGTGGAGGGCGGTAAGAGGGGTGTTCTTTCCTTTAACTGGGTTGTTGGTAGCTGAGTTGGCACGTTCTTGTTCCTCTGTTGCGAGTGGGCATGGTATAATTTTTCTTTTTTCGTGTATGTGTTGGGGGGAGGCCGGAAGAGTTGCCACAGACCACCTGTTTAATCCAGGTTCAGTTTAAGCATAGGGCAGCATCTCGCCAGCTGGCAAAAAAAAAAAAAAAAAAATCCATAGAATTTCTCTCAACTATTAACAGACTTGGGTAGAAGCTAGGGAACCGTTTCCGGAGAGCAGCCAGCATCGATTTAGAGATGCTGCGGCATCTGTTGCCTATATTTGTGGAGATGGAAGAGAGCCACTCGCTGGTGAGGTATGACCGCGGCGACCTGGGGACTGAAATCCACACTGCGACCTGCGATCAACCCACAAGTACTTATGGATTCCCTCCCATATGCTCATCACTGTATCAGAAGCTACATAAGAAACATAAGAGGTGGCGTCCTCCCGGCCTATTGTGGTAGAGAACACAAAACATACAGAGAGATCAGCAAGACCTCGCCGGACTAAGTTATCATTGTGTGAAGACGGTTAAGTCCTACAAGTATTATGAGATCAGTGGGGGTACAAAGGGCCAACGGGATAGGCTGTGGGTAGGGAGAGTGCAGGGAAGAACAAGGAGGGATAGGAGAACTCGGGTGGGAATCTTTGGAGAATTCGGGAGAGAATTTGGAATTCGGGAGCGAAGAGGAAATGGGAGGTAGGGGCGAGGCCAAGCCCGGCTCTGCGCGGACTGCAGCTTCGGAAAGGGTGGCTCAGCGACCCCTTCTGCTTTCTTTACTTAGGTCCCAGGCATTTCCGACAGACCGGAGAGTCTCAGGTCAGCCTTCTCGCCAGGACTATCTCCGGAGCACTTCTGCCACGCGGCGGGAGCTCGCGCCGCCAGCCGCAGCCAGAGCTCGGGAGGCAAGCTCGGCTACAAAGGGGGCGTGGCATGGTGAATAGGCGTGGCGTGGGCGTGGCGTGTGGGCGTGGCTCTCCTCCCGCCTGTGCCCGCCGACGCCGCCGCAGCTGCCGCCTCCGCCCGCCGCGCGGACCGAGGGAGCGGGGTCGCCGCCGCCTGCCCGCCCGGGTGCCCGCGAGCCCGGGCTGCGGTGGGCCAGGATGTCGGGCTTCCTGGAGGAGCTGCTGGGCGAGAAGCTAGTGACTGGCGGCGGCGAGGAGGTGGACGTGCACTCGCTGGCCTCCCGCGGCATCTCGCTGCTCGGGCTCTACTTCGGCTGCAGCCTGAGCGCCCCCTGCGCGCAGCTCAGCGCCAGCCTGACCGCCTTCTACGGCCGCCTGCGGGGGGACGCGGCGGCCGGGCCCGGGCCGGGGCCGGGGGCCGGGGCTGCGGCGGAGCCCGAGCCGCGGCGCCGCCTGGAGATTGTCTTCGTGTCCTCGGATCAGGACCAGCGGCAGTGGCAGGACTTCGTGCGGGACATGCCGTGGCTGGCGCTACCCTACAAGGAGAAGCACAGGAAGGTGAGCGGCGCCGGCCTCGTAAAGCGTTCCAGGGAGCCGGTCCTCGCGGCCCCCGGCGTCCCCGCTGCCCTCTCCTGTAGTGCACGGGCTTCCCCTCCTGCTCCTCAGCGCCCCCTGCCTCTGACCGTCCCCCGTCCCGGGAACCCGCCGGCTCGGAACCCGCGGCAACTCGGTGTCGGTGCCAGGCCGCGCCCGCTGGGGAAGTTTGAAACCCCTCAGCCCCCGGGACCCTGACTCACGTCCTGGGGAGTCGAGGGCCGGGTACCCGCATGTTGGGTGCCTCCCGTAGCGGGTGGCTGCGGTCGGGGGGGGTCCCGAATCGGTGACCCTCAGCCCCGGGCAGAGGCGCGGGGAGGGAGCCCCTTCTTTCCCTCAGCCATCGACTCCCCGCGGCTACCTGTGGTGGGGGGGAGGGCGCCGGCCCCCTACCCATAATGCCCGAACCAGGAAGTTTCCTCTCTCTCCGAGAGAAATCTGCTTTCCTGAGGCTACCTCCCGCTGTGGCCGAGGGCGGGTCCCCCGGCGCCCTGGGGTGGGGGTGTCGGCCGCTGACCGTGGCTTTGGGCGAGAAGGAAGCTTGGTCGTCTCCCCTTGCCCTCCCTCCGCTCCCGCTTTTCCCTCCCTCGGACTGAGCTAGAGGCCACCAGGGAGCCTTTCATTGTCTAGCTGTCCAGCCAGCCATCCCCCCTGATACCTCCCGGGCACCGGACCAGACCCGTCCTTGTGGCTGTTAGTGGCTTGGTTGGTGGGCCACTGGTGTCTTGGCATCGAATTAAACGCTGAACCGATTCCTTAAGTGCAGACTGACCAGAAGAATGAGGATTGGGGGAAATTTACAGTCCTCTGTCAACTTCTGAACCCCTCCTCTCCCGCGGGTTTGCTGCTGAAATTAGCTTGGATTTTTGAGTGTGTCTGTTGGATGAAGATGTCTGTTTTAATAAAATGAATTCAGGAAATTTTGCCATGAATCGAAACAGAAAAAGTTTTGGAGCGCTCTTGCTTAATTAGTATGCCTGCTGCAACGTGTGAATCCAGCCGGGTGCTTTCCTGAGGAAAATCTCTGTTTCTGGAGTGGACAGAAGGGCTCTGCTGGGGGCGTTTAGATTCCACTCCGGAGGTTGGTAAGGGCATGCCATTTGTTTCTTTAATGCCTATAGAATCTTGTTGAGAAGCATGATTTAGATTTAGTGAGAGTAAAAGGCTTATACTGTGGCCCCATATGTCTCAAGTAAATCATCCACAGAAGCAATGTAAGGTACAGACTTGGTATTCAAAGTATGAAACACAGTTTAACAAATAGATTTTGTAGATTTAGCATTGGAAAAACATGGACTCAAGCCACACAGAGGCAACACTTTGCGTTTTAACCACTTTTTAGATGATCTTGCCCATATTTGACTTATCTGCTTGGTACAGTGCAGGAATATGAATGGCCAGTCCTTTTTTGCTTTAAAACATGGGAATCCTTTGTTTTCCTTGGTGGTAGTTTTTATGATCCTTTTGGGGAGGAGTAATGTCCAGAAAGTGATTTATCAAGAAATATTTTCATTATTATGGCCTATTTCTATTGTAGACCAAAGTCTGTGTAAAGTACTGTCCTTATTGGGCATTACAAATGATTTCTAGCTTTTGCAAATACACAATGATGGTACAGTGTTACAGACTTAAGGCCTATTGTTATGTTTTCCCCCATAAGTGTTGGAAATAAATTTGCTGGATAGTAAAATAAGGAGCAAATTGAGATGTTTTGCAAATGTCTAAACCTTTTCTTCCAAAAAGAATATTTGGTGTGACAAAAGACCCTGATGCTGGGAAATACTGAAGGTGGGAGAAGGGGACAACAGAGGATGACAGGAGGCTTGGCATGCTGCAGTCCAAGGGGTCGCAAAGAGTTGGACACAACTGGATGACAGAAGAACAACAGCAACAACAAGCCATGCCTGCTTCACTATGTCTGACCAAGTCCTTTTGCACACACACAAAAAGTGGTTTGTGACCCCAGCCTGGACCTGTTCATTCCATCAAGATGAGGTTCTGGATGATACCGGGCAGACCCTGACTTGAAAATGCACTTCAGTTTGCTGGCATGTGCCCTCGCCATGGTGTGTTAGCATCTTACCAATTTATTTATTTATTTTTTTTAATTTTTTTACCAATTTATTTTTTACTCTGAGTTTTTCTGACTCACATTCTATAGTTCACTTTGTTCTCTAAAACAAGTCCTGTTTTTTTGTTTTTTTTTTAAGTCCCGTTTTTGAGAAGGTAGTTTCTGCCCCTGGATATTCGTGAATAGGCAACTCAAGATTTGATCCTAGAAACATTCTTTTTCGTGGTGACATACCAGGTAAAAAGGCTCTATCCAGATGGGTTTCTTATGGAAAACATACTCTTGGAAATTATAACAGCTGTGTACTTACTTTGGAAGAAATTATTCTCTCCCTTGAAACCAAAGAGATGTAAAACATTCCTTTTCTGTAATTTTGAGTTTTTGTCTCTCTTGTTTGAAATCGGGGTGCTTAGAAATCTGTGAGCTTGTGATGCCAATTCTGCGATAACAGTGAAAAACCCAGGGCACCCCCCGTTCAGGGTGCTGACTCAGTGGACACTTAGCTTCTTGTTGATGGATCCTGTCCATGTTGTTTTACCCAATGATAAAAATAGCATTAAAGGAAAGGATTTTGTTTTTACATTGAGGGGAAACCAAAGTTCCAGATTACCTTTTTTTTTCACGTTCTCATTAACATTTATTCTTAAAACCATTTGTATACTTCCCATTGGGATAACAAAGGATATGGTTCTAATTAGTTATTGGCTGGCATTTCTCTAAAGAAAATTGAAAAATTATGGTGGGGAAAGAAAATGCCGTGTGGTATTTTTTTCTGCTTTTATTAATTTCCCCCTTATTTAGTAAAAAAGTCTGGGGATAACCATATATGTTAAAACTGCATTTTGCCTGGCTTCTCTCACCTTGATTGAAACTGTGAGAGAACACCAGCTAATAGGATTCCTGCATCTTTGAAAAAAAATTTTTTTTATGGATGATTGTCCTGTTTCTGCTTGCTTTCGTGGTCGATGCAAAGGTAATTGAAGCTTCATTTTTTGGCTTCCAAGCACACATATAAATAGCTATGTAGAAATTATTAGATGATAATAGAACTTTGAGTGCTTTCATAAGAGCTATGTTGTCAGGAAACATATAATCCTAAAATTAAGGCAGTTAGATTTGTTTTAATAAGTAGGTTTGTTTTTTGTTTTGTTAATAGACATTTTTCAGATCTCTGAAGAGAAAATGTGATGAATAGTTGGAACGTGGTGAAGATTTGGACTTTGGGGATTTGACCTACCCCTTTGCATGTGTGCTAAGTTGTGTCCGGCTCTTTGTGACCCCATGGACTGTAACCCGCCAGGCTCCTCTGTCAATGGGATTTCCCAGACAAGAATACTCGAGTGCCATTTCCTTCTCCAGGGGATCATCCCAACCCTCCCGACCCAGGGATGGAACCCAAGTCTCAGGGATAAAACCTGAGCCTCCTACATTGGCAGGTGGATTCTTTACCACTGAGTCACCAGAGAAGCCCATTTATGCCTGGGCTGAATGCCTGATGGAAAACATTTGATCGGGGTGTGCACCCTGATATGAAAAGATGCAGTACCACTGGTCTTGCTCTGGACAGGTTTGATGGGCCCTGGCTTGGTCCTAGAACTTCCTGCCCTACAGAAAGGGGACAAGAAAGTTGGAGCAGAGAGTGTCAGAGTCGGGGGTTCTGGTCTAGCATCTCTGATACACCCTCTTCAGCCAAGGCAAGTGGTATCTTCCTGTACGCTGTGTCGGTTGTGGTTCAGACTGAGTCAGGGACTTGGCTTAGAATTCACCTGAATCCCTTGGCTGTATGGATGGACCAAGATTTGGTACCATTCCTGACAGTCTTACAGCTCCATCTCTCCGAACTCTTCCCCCCTCTAATCAGATACCTTAAGCCACCAAGAGAATGATTTCTGCAACACCGACACACCACTCTGCAGGTGATAAAAGATGGTAAAAAAGCACGGCTGTGAACACTGGACTTTTCTGCATTCCTCATAAGAAGCCTGGACCAGCCAGGACAGCTCCCTCTGTTGACTGTGTTTCCAGGATCCATCTCATAAAAGACAAGAGTCTGGTTAAAGTAATAGGAGCATTTATCCTTTAGAGGCTTTTTCCTCATTCCATTATTTGTAAAGAATTTTTAAATCTTGTTTTTCTTCTCTGCATAATGAAGCTGTCTAGTGCAGTGGCTGAAAATGCAGACTCTTGTCCATCTGCCTGAGTTTAGATCCTTCTTCTGCCATCCATTAGCTGTGTGACCTTGTGCCAGTTACCCTACCTCTCTGTGCTTCAAGTTCCTTACCTATAAAATGAAGACGACAACAGGACCTGCCTTACAGGATTATTGTAAAGATTATACAAGATAATATGCACGTGCCTGGGGTATAATGCGTGCTCAGTAAGTGCTAGCAATTATTATTTGTTAATAAATGGCCGTGAACTTTTTAGTCATTCATTTTATACGTGAGCCTTTGGTATATATCACATTACATACTTACAAAACTGTGATGAGGTGTGTTTCTAACTTTTCAAATAAATGACTTTTATAAGCATACAAGGATCCGATCAAGAATCACTCTCGAAGAGATTACAATCGAGGAGAAAGATATAGAAAAATGGGGAAAAAAAGCAAACAAATGTTAGAAACAACATCCCTGAAAGTACTGATTGGGCTGATATTTACTGAGCTTCGTACTTGTATTTGCCAGTGAAACTTGAGACAGCCAGGCAGGGAAGCCAGGCATGATAAAGGATAAGAGCTTTCAGATGATGGGGCACCCTTCTTGAGAGAGATTAATTACGCACTTGGCTGGTCGTTTTTGTGGTTTGCCAAAGCCATTAGGCGTGTCTCTGTGGGTCCTGGCTGCTCCAATCTGGGCGGCATGGGGGCGGCGGGATTACTGCTCTTTCACGT